CCGAAAAATAATACTTAGCAAATATTTTGCAGAGAACAGAAAGATGGAAGAAGATTATTATGTTGTGTTAAAAAGAAACCAATGAGTGGTTTTATCATAGGGAGGGGTGAAGGTGGAGCGCCAACGTGTGATGCCACTATGCAAACACGTGGAGCTCGCATGATCCATTAAAAGGAGAGCACCAAGCACATTGAATGAAGCCTAAACGTATCGAGCCAATGTCGAGTGTATAAAGAAGAATATCGAGCGCACTGTACGAGCGTACAAATACAGTTGGAGGGCCAGACACTCACAACTCGCAGTGTGCGTCTAGTAATGTGTTAGGTTATTGTTCTTGATGTCATCATGTCAGTATGAGAAACTAGAAGGAGACACAAAATGTTGGGATTTCTACATCCCCATTCTGCTCTCTCCCTCCCTCTTCATCTCTCCCCGTATAAAAGGAACACTTAAACTATGGAATCAAGTATGTGAATTCTCACGCAAACACTCTTGCGAAAAATCCTAGTATTACATACTCGTTCCCATTTAAGTTCTAACCTAGACATCGGAGTGTAGTTGGCAAAGCCCTGGAGCTAGAATAGGAAGGTAGCAATTACCTAGAAATGGCTCAAAAAATAGTACAGTAAAAAATAAAATTATAAATTATAAAAAGACCTACATTTTTTAGGGAGATGCAATCCCATAATTAATTTCGAATTTAAATAAGTGATAAAATTAGGGTGAAAAGAATCCATCCGACTTGTACTTCCTAAAAGTAAATTTTAGTCCTTGAACTTTAGTATCTAACCGCTTAAAATTTGTAATGATTTAGTCCTAACACAAAGATATTAACAAAACTTTTCATGATACAAAAAAAAAAAATCGTTTTATAAATTTTAAACCACATGTACTTAAATTGTTATAGATTAGAGTAAAAATACAATAGGAAAGCTCATAAGTTGAACCATTACACCGTATTGGGATTAAATATGTTGTCCTTTAACCTAAAATTAATACATTCTATTAGTTTTAATTCTATTTTCCAAAAAGGTTTGTAATTAATTTTGTGCATTGTTACTTAGAACAAAATTATTTTTGTGATTAATTATATTTTTGTTAAAGTGAACATAGCTCACTGATAATCAGCATATCTCAAATCAAAAAATTGTGAGCTAAATTTTCACTCCAACACGTTGTACTCCAAAAAGAAAAAAAAAACTTTTATTAATGATGGTATCATACTATTTGTTAATATAATATTAGTACCGCCAAAACGAGTATAGTTTAGCTATAAGTGCTATTCTTTGACATACTTGGTTAGAAAGAAATCACCGAACATTTACAGGTTTTTCGAAGACTACAACCAACATTTGGGAGGATATCACAGTCACTATTTCTGATCTTTGGTCTACAAAATCTAATCTTTTTTGTACTTACGATACATCTACTATATCTTTTAATTGGAGTGCTTTTATATAGGCCTCCTTTTTTTGTATGTTTCTCACATACATCAATGAAGTCTCTTTTTCCAAAAAAATACATATCTCTAATTCAAGAGGTTGTAAGTTCGAACCCTACCTCCACGTACTCCACATAATAATAAAATATAATGTTGTTTGCATCTCGAGGTTTTTTTTCCTTCCCCCTCTCTCTATTTAGAGATTTGTTTCCCTCTCATTTGTTTATATTATTTCATAACACTGTCTACATTACCTACAGGGAAAAAAGTATTAATTTTAGAATCATATATTATTCAACACCTAACATCATTCGTTTGAAAATTTTGCCAATATTTTGTTAATTATGTTATAATCTTTTATTAATTAGATATGTATGATTGTATTCTAAAAAAAAAAAAAAAATTGGTATGTATGATTACGACGAGAGCCAGTAGAGACAAACAACAATGATTAACATTTCTTAATAGGACTCGAGTTAAGCTGGTCAAAGCTATTTAAAATTTCTCCAAAATATTATAATTTTGTCTCTTTTTAAGTTAAATAATTGTGGGGTGGAGATCGAAATATATCTTTAAGATAGTAGTAAATATCATAGAATTATGCTCGAATTGATCAATAAAATAAATTAATTTCTTAAGATTTGATGTAACATCTGTTTGATTTGAACAAGCAAAGACATAGAAATGGTCAAAATTAGGTATTGTATCATGGTTTTCTGTTATTATTATTATTATTTATATTAACTTTTCAAATAGATACAATATATTACATTTTCTTTTTAATTATGTTCGATTGATTCGTTTAACGTCAAATCGAACATAGTTCGAGTAATTTCTTATTTTCAAAATTTTATTTTTATTTTTATTACTTCAATAGAGATTATTTTAATTTAATTCTTAAAAATAACAAAATATAATTTTTTTTTAAAAAAACCGAATTCATTAACCTAAAATAATGTCTCGTGGCTAGGTGTTGGCCAATCTGCCATTGTCGCAAATTTTTTAATATTGGTAATGAAATTCCGTCGAATTTTGTAATTTTTAAATGTTATTTTATTGCATAGCTTACATTGACAAGGACTTTGGAAATATCTTGCTCACAGTTTTAATAGATAAATCTCGAGTCCAAAGCTTCATGTAGAAGTATTAATTTGGACTGTAAAAAAAAAATCACAATTAGATTAGTTAGTTATCATACTTAACTACTAGGTAAATTAATTAATTAAGTAAATACTAGTACTATAATTGTCAACTTAAGCATAGATTAACTAGTTAAGATATTTATACAAGATTAAAAAGTTACCTGTTATATATAATATACTAAAAAAAGTATAATATTATTATAATAATTTTACGATAGATATCTTAGTTAATTATGAGTTTACATTAATGATTGAGGACTATCATATAAAATAAAGATATATTTGATTTAGTACTAAAAAAAAAATATTTGCTTGACCATGATTAAAGTCTACATCAACAAAAGCTTAGTGGTTAAGGGTCAAGATTTACTACTTTCTCTATGAAGTCGTGATGTTTAATCTCCACACACTTGTATTTATGATGTTATATAAATTATTAATCAATGGTTAAAACAAATACTATTTAATTATTTGCAATTATTTTAAAATAACTAAACTTGTTGGTGGGCCGACAAAACGACCTTCCACGTGTGAATTGATTATTGGTTTAAACGTGCCAAGTCCTCACAGAATAATAATCCTTTATTCAAATTGTTGAATTTATAATATTATGCAACTTCAAGATTGACTCGGACGTAAATCTTAGCTAAAGCCAACGTAAATGAATTATAGGGTAATACTTTCGTAAAGGTCGAACCAATGAAGAAAAGATCTATTCTCTTACCTTCTTAAAGGTCGAGGCAAACTATGTGCGATTCGTAAGTGCTGTGACCTTTTTATAAAGGTCAAGACAAAGTGTATAAGGTCGTGCCCAAACAATTTATTTATGATGGTTGCAGTAGTTATCCCACAAAATCACACAACAGTTTTAACCGTGGGTCGGTGCATTAATATTCTTGACCTATAAATAGAGAGAGTCATGCACAAGTATACAATTTATTCATTTTAGAGGGATATATTTGCCGTTTAACTTATTTGAGCATCTTCTTCCTTTGTACAAGATTCTGACTTAGGTAATAGGAATCGTGCAAAAACCTTTCTAATTAGTTTTATAAAAAGTACAGAATTTGTAAAAGATTTTAAAATCAGCTGCGTCAAATTTTCTTTTGAAAATTTTATTTATATATATTACTAGGCGAGTTTTACGATTTTTTTTAGTACAATTGAGCTATGCTCGTTTTAATTTGGATATATGGTCAAATTTAAATTTATACCGCTTAGTTTTATGTAGTCCATGGAAATTAACAAATGATTTTATAGATTATGATAAGCAAATTTGTGACAAACTTAGCTTAACTTCGATCTTCCAGTCACCTATTGTAAAAGAGAACTTCATAAATATTGATTCGAAGCCTCTGAAAACCTACTAGACCAGAAAAAATATGATTTTTTTAATTTTGTAATTATTTAATTCTCTCATCTAAAATTTTTTTTAACACTTTAATCCCTAAACTTTAGAGTTTAATTATTTAATGCTCTCATATTTAGAATTTGTAGAGTTGCTGCCATAAAATCTCATCAAGGCATGTAATTAACAGTTGTTTTTTTTTGCAAAAACAACATTGATTCAATTGATGAATAAGTTCTTTCTTGCATATATTTGACTTGGGCATAACAGGTCGAAAGATTTGAGTCCTGGGTTGTCAAGTGACTCTATTGTTAGATTTTGGCAAAATATTAGAAGAGAAAATTTTCCAACATGGAAAAGGTACCAGCATGAAGCATTCTCTATTCTCTAAGCGCTATAAAAGTAGGTTTTATCCCTCCTAAATGAAACATTTTCAGTCTTGGTAATACTAGTTGTAATTAATTGAGTGGATTTGTTGCCCGTTTTGAGAGAGTAATTTGTATAATTGAAGTCGAAGAAGAAATTTATATGATTGTAATAATTTTCCACATAGTAGATTTTCGAATCGTGGTTTTTTTCAGTTTGGAGTTTTCCGCGTTAATTATTGTATCATTTTAGTGTTGTTATTTTTTTTTAATTCCTCGATTATTTTTGCTTCTTTCTAATCCTGAAATAGGGAGATTTTTACCACCCAACTATCACTCATCAAACCTTAATAATGAGATTGTTCATGATACGAACTAAATCGTCAAAAATTTTAAACAAGTTGTTACAAATTTTATGTCATACAAAAGTGTAAGGATTAATTACTACTAAATTAAAGGGATTAGCTTTTTTTTTAACCTAAAATTATATTAATACTCATTGTTCTTAGGCACTAAAACACAACCTAAGATAAATCCGACCATCTCATGGACATTTGAAGGTGAAGAATGAAACTTCTTACATTCAATGAAAAAAAATGAATATATAATTTGGTCAAATCTAAAGGTGATAGCATAATGATGCAACTTAATTAAACTGATTTTTGCGTCTTCTCTGTTCTTTCTTCCAGCAGTAAACCAAAGCAAAAACCACAATAAATAGTGGAGCTTTCAAGTCCACAGATCAAATAATCTCTCAAAACCAGCCATGAAGTACTCTTCTCCATTAATCCCTCTTTCTTTCTCTCTCCTCTTCATTTTTCTATCTTCATCTTCTTTATGGGCAGCAGCTTCTGTTGACAAACATGAATCCTTTCTTAACTGTCTCCTCGATCACTCTCCCGATAGTAATTACTCCATTTCCAAAGTCGTATACACCCCACTCAACTCCTCTTATTCCTCTGTTTTGGATTTTTCCATTCGAAACCTTAGATTCTCAACCGCTGACACCCCAAAGCCACTCTTCATCATAACACCATTGCATGTTTCCCACGTTCAAGCAGCCGTTGTTTGCTCCAGAACCCATGGCCTTCAAATCCGAACTCGAAGTGGCGGTCATGACTTCGAGGGTCTTTCCTGCGTCTCTCATCTTCCATTCATCATCATTGACCTTATAAACCTTAGGTCCATCACAATTGATGCCAATAACAACACTGCATGGGTTCAGTCCGGGGCAACTCTCGGCGAACTCTATTATAGCATCGCTGAGAAAAGTCGAACCCTTGCATTTCCTGCGGGTGCTTGTCCGACAGTCGGTATTGGTGGGCACTTTAGCGGCGGCGGGTATGGGCTGATGCTGCGGAAATTTGGTCTAGCGGCTGATAATGTGATTGACGCTTACTTGGTTGATGCTAATGGGAAGTTTCAGGATAGAGAGTTGATGGGAGAGGATTTGTTTTGGGCCATTAGAGGGGGCGGTGGAGGGAGCTTTGGAATAGTGGTCGCGTGGAAGGTGAAGCTAGTTCCGGTGCCCGCGACGGTTACGAGTTGCTATTATAACAGAACTTTAGAAGAAGGTGCAATCAAGCTAATCCATCGGTGGCAATATGTGGCTAACAAATTAGATGAAAATCTATTCCTAGGCATCCTTCTAATGGGTATTCTTTCAACACTTTTTCTTGGGAAAATTGTCATTTTTGGATCAAAAATTTTTCTAATTTCTTTTTTTTTTTTCCGAAAAATGATCTAGAATTCTAAATTGAAAAACTGGGAGGCACAAAAATGACAATTTCCCTTTTTCTTGAGTTGTTTATTATGTATTCCTTTCTTTTTCGTTGAAAATTATGTTTCTTAAATTAATATTGAAATGATAAGTAAACTCCACCAAATGGTTTTATAAAAATAAATAAATAAATATATACATATATATAAAAAAGCTGAGAGATTAGTTTTTCTAATGGTGTAATTAAAGTATTTTTCGAATGACTTTTTAAACCAAAATACTTTTCTTAAGAGAACTTTTGAAAGAATTAATATAGGTGAGTCATTCCTCTAAACACTAATTGATTTTGATACAGAACCCTATTAATATTTATATAGTATCAGAATCTAAAACTCAAACTATAAGGGATGAGGTTTTTTTCGTGGAACAAAAAAATTATGAATAATCTAAACTCAATTAATTCTTGGTGATAGGTGGGAATTTTACTGCACAAGGAGGAGATAAAACAAACCCAACAGCTTCATTCTTCTCTTTATTTCTTGGAAAGGCAGATGAGTTTTTTGCAATCCTAAACACAACTTTTCCTGAGTTGGGTTTGGCAAAGGAAAATTGCTTAGAATCAAGCTGGATTGAATCAGCCCTCCTCTCTGCAGGGTTTAAAATTGGAGACTCCTTAGAAGCTTTGCTCAATAGAACACCTCTCACCAATGGAAGCATTAAAATCAAATCGGACTACGTTAAGGAACCCATTTCGGAAGCTACAATTGAGGGCATATGGGAAAGATTAAAGTCTCGAGACGTAGGAGCGAGACAACTTCTATTTGTTCCTTATGGAGGGAGGATGAGTCAGATTTCCGAGTCGGAAATTCCTTTCTCCCATAGAGCTGGAAATCTCTACAAGATAGGCTACATCGTTGCTTGGCAAAAACAAAACGTCGATGTGGAGAAAAGACATCTGAAGTGGATACGAGAGCTTTACAGTTACATGACACCATTTGTTTCAAAATCGCCGAGATCTGCGTACGTCAATTATAGAGACCTTGACATTGGATCAAACAATAAATATGGCAAGACAAGCTTCAAGCGAGCCAGCGTCTGGGGATGGAAGTACTTTGGAAACAATTTTAATAGGCTTGTACATGTCAAGACCAAGGTTGATCCTTACGATTTCTTTAGGCACGAACAGAGCATACCCACTATCTCACCGGTCTAGAATTTAGTGATATAGTGTAACAATTTACTATTGTATCCTTTTTATGTGTTTTGTTTGACTATGTCCAACCCTTTGTGTTGCAAAATAAGGGCAGTGTATAATTCTAGTATATTATATTACTTACCTTTGAATTTCTTTAACGCTGCAGTTTGTTTTTTTTTTAATCCATATTTAACAAAAATCTCTTCTCACTCTTATTTTTATAATGATAAGTATAAAAGTTTTTTATGATTTAAAGTCTATATCACCTAGTTTGGGAATGGAGGGAGCTTATTTTTTAAGTTTAAACAATCCAAATAAGTTTGACGTTTCTAGTTTTCTTTTTTGTTTTCATTTCCAATTTGTTAGACAACATAAATATAAATATTGTGTGATCATCTTTAAATTCATGGATATTAAGACATACCATTCTACTTTTCTTTATWAAAAATGAAAAAAATACAAATACAAAATGGAAACGTTATCAAATGAATCTGAACCAAATTCAGTTATATATAGGTTTTTTTAGAGTCGTTTATAGATTCGCCATTATAAAAGTCATTCAAGAAGCTCCATACAACTAGGAGATGAATAGATTTCAAAGTTTCGTTATTTTTTATTTTTTATTTTTTATCTTTTTTAATACAACATGTGGGAGTGGGAGTGAGAGATCAAACTCACAACTTAATGGTTAGAGGTATATGTCAAATCTAAAAAAATGATTTTAATTAAAAAATTATTCAATATTTTCAATGAACAGTATAGATTTATAAGTTGACGAAGTTAATTAATATAGATTATAACACATAATCGCCTAGAGCTGCGTATCTAAACTATAGAGATCTTGATATTCGATCGAACAACAAATGTCTAAAGACAAGCTACAAGCAGGCAGGCGTGTGGGGGTTGGAATATTTTGGTAACAATTTTAATAGGTTGGTACATATTAAGACCGAGATGGATCCTTACGATTTCTTTAGGCATGAGGAAAGCATAGCCTCTGTAAAAAATTTGGTAAAATAATATAACAATTTGATATTGTTTCTACGTGTATTTAAACTATACCCCAATATACCATTGTGTAGCAAAATAAGGGGTGACTTTTATTCGTGTCTGGTTTAGTAAAGTCATGTGATGGAGTTTCTTTTTTCTTTTTTCTTTTTTTATGTAAGATTGAAAATTATTGACATAGCCCGTGCCAATTAGGATTCGACCTTATTGATTTTGAGATGAATCCTCATTAATTTTATCATGGTATTAGAGTCTGACAAATTCAAACGAGCATTTAGTCTAAATATGATATCCAACCTAAGATTGATAAGCAAAAAAAAAAAACCACAATCTTGAAGAAGTATGTTAAGGATTCCACGTTAAAAAGATAAGGAACCTAGTAAGGATTATAAGATACATGGGTTACTCCTTTCACCCTTAGTTAGTTTTGAGATGAAATCCTATGAATATTGACAATCGCCATCAAATTTAAAAAGAGTCGTATAGAAAAATAGTCTAATAAATATTGTAACAAAAAATATAGATACTTTCTTTTTTTTTTTTTTTTGAAAAAGAAATCATCCATTCGAAAGTATGTGAAAAACATATAAGGGAAGATGCTATGAGAAGACACTCCCATTTACAGAAATGGTTGATATATTGTAGTTAAAAAAAGAGGAGACTTAGAGGACCACGATGAGGCTAAGATTTTGACATCTTCCCAAAGTTGGCCATGGGATCTAGATGAATCCGCGAAGGTGTGACTATTACACTCCGCCAAATGGACTAAATTAGAGAGCCAACTTCTGTAATCCAAAGGATATTCCTTTTATTGCAAGTAGGGACAAATAAAGATTCCTTTAACATAATATCAATAGATTCTAGGAGCACCGTAGAGGTGTTAAAGGCATAAAAAAAATAGGTATCAAAGTTTTGTGGTCAAGGGACAGTGCAAAAATAAATGATCCAACGATTTTGATGAACGATTGCACCAGACGCAACCAATTCGGGTTGATAAGAGCGAAGGGTACCTTGTTAGAAGCTTGTCGTATGTGTTGAGCCCTCAATGTATAGTACATCAGAAATATAAATACTTTTAATTATCTATAATTATTTAGGAGACTATACTAAACACCTTATAAATTAGTAAATTTTTTTTAGTACAACATGTGATGTGTGGATTCAAACTCACAACCTCTTTTTTGAAGAGTTATGTCAATTATCATTGAGCTATGTCAATTATCGTTGAGCGCTCTGACATAAATTAGTAATTCTTTCCAAAGTCCTGATCATAGAAAAAATGAATATATTTAAAACTTGCTTTTCAAAAGCCATCACAATGTTTGATAATTGATTTAAAAATAATAATTATTATTATTAAAAGAATTATCTTGATCTACATCATATGTAGTTGGCATCCACAGTCGAGGAGTTATTTTTCATATATTTAATGTATTTGAAGTTTTCTTGGAAATCAAGAAAATGAGGTAAAAATCATATTTTAAAAAAATATTACATCTTTGATTTTTTTTCTTTTTTTGAATGCCCAAAGTCAAGAAATTTTCAATAAAATAAATTGATTCGTCAAGATTTGATGTATACGTTTGTTTAGTTGAACAAGCAATTGCCTATGGTCTTCAAAATGAGGTAAAAATCATATTTTAAAAAAATGAAATGCAAAATATTACTCTTTATTACTCCGACTTTGATTTATTTCACTTGTCTTCTACTAAAATCATTTGTAAAACAAACGATTTCACCCACTTAAAAAAATTAAATTAAATTATCAAGTCAATAGGGTTGAGCACAAAAAAAATAATAAATAATAATATTAGACATCAATGATTCAACAAATGTTTTCAATTAAACAACTAAATTATTTTTAAATACATATCATAAGGTATGTGGCACATGATACACTAAGCTATCTTCCCGTCAACAATATTTATGTATTTTCATACAACATATCTGAAGATAGGAACTTGAATATGTAACTTTAAAGAGAACCTATCCTCATTACAACATAACCTAACTATCATCTTAAAGTCATTACTGCAACTCGTTAATCGGGCGACGCGCATGTACGTACGCGAGCAAAGGGGCTCCCACCTCGGCCCGGCCGAGGAGGAACGTCCCGAAGACAACGGGAGTGAGGGGTACACTCGCCAGAGGGGAGACCTCCGCGAGCATCTCAACCGAAAGAGAGGCTCGTCTCTCC